TGCAGGACTACTGACTATCTTCTTCAAGACTTGGAGATTGAAGAATGTCCTTCCCTCACATCCTTTCCAAGAGGCATCTTGCCTACCAGGTTGCAAAGGTTGAAAATCCGAGGTTGTAGAGATCTGCAGTCTTTACCTGAAGGAATCATGCAGAATGGTAACAGCACAAACATGTCTCATCTTGAGAGCTTGGAGATTGATGATTGCCCCTCTCTAACTTGCTTTCCCAAAGGCATATTACCATTTAGTCTTAAAACTCTAAAGATTTCGGATTGCTCCAAGCTGGAGCCACTTTCAGAGCAGCTGCTACACAACAATGCATCACTTGAATACATTGGTCTGTGGAATTATGCTAGTCTTAGATATTTGCCTGAATGCCTACATTGCCTCGCACATCTGACTGAGTTAACTATAAGTAGCTGTTCTGCTTTAATCTCCTTCTCAGAGACAGGCCTCCCTCCCACCTTGAGAACATTAGAAATCTACAGCTGTGTCAACCTTAAGTCTCTGCCAGAGAGGATGCAAAATGTTGCTTCTCTTCAATATCTAACAGTTTGTGACTGTCCACGTCTTATGACCTTTCCTAAAGGTGATTTGCCCCCTCAGTTATTGTTACTTCGGATCTTGGATTGTATAAATCTGAAGGAGCCAATGTCAGAATGGAACTTGGATTCTCTAACCTCCCTTAAAGAGCTCAACATTGCTGGTGCCCCTAATATTACTTCCTTCCCGGATGAAAATTGTTTGCTTCCTACGAGCCTCAGCCTGATTGTCATTGCAAGACTCAACAATCTGGAATCTCTATCCTCAGCACTGCAAAACCTGACCTCACTAGAAGAACTAGAAGTTGTTGACTGTCCAAAGCTGAGACACTTGCCAAGGGAAGGCCTGCCTGCAACACTTGGAAGACTTTGTATCAGAAACTGTGAACATCTAAAACGAAAATGCTTGAAGAAGAAAGGAGCACACTCAACAAGGATAGCCCACATCCCCAACGTGGAGATAGAATGGTAATCTCCCCATGTTCTCAGTTTTGTTTAGATCAACTTCTGTTACACTACTTTCTTTGGTAGACTTTTGCCATACAGCTGCATGATTCTTCTCGTAATAACCTTTTCACTGCAATTGCAGATTAAATTCAACAAGGGACAGCAGATGTTCATTGAACTCTTTTGCAAGATGTTTTTGGGGTAATATATTATGATTGTTTTTTTCCATTTGTTATGAATGTATCTTAACCATAGGTTAGGTTGCTGCCAAAGATTTCTTATATTTTCAACTTGTGCAGATTTCACATTTTCTACATACGGATGGAGGGAATATCAGTGATGCCCAAATACATTTGTTCAAGATGGAGCTACAGCCTACAAGATTGTAAGCATATATACAGAAAATGATAATCCATAATCATTACCTCTAATGGTCATGTCATGGGGACCTTCTTTCTCATAACTCTATGCTCACATTAATCAAAGTCAATCTCAAAAATATT